ATATATATATATATATATATATATATATATATATATAGTTAAATAATTATCATGACTAGTTCTTCTAATAAAATATCTACATACACGTTTAATAAATTTTAATCATTAAGCGATATACAATTATTACTCTATCGTGTTACTTCAACGCTTTATAATCGTAAAATTAATTAGAAATTTAGAAAACTCGTTTTAATTTACAAACAAATCGTGATTATCATTATCACTTGTATCTCGTGAAATTTTCTAAATCTAATTCTAAAAATTCGAAAAAAAAAAAAAACGAGAGAAAGCGAGAAAGCTCTACGATCCACCATCGGTTTCAAATTCTTCTGAAAAATTCGATCCGTCGCCACCCCGATGTTAAAATAACGGAATCCAGGTCGTCTGGAGCTAGTTGTTAATTTATAAGCACCGGTGCAACTACTCCGCGTCACCTTCTGTTATCCGAATGACCCTTACGAGCACTCCGACGATTTATTAACACTGTATTGTTAAAGGCTCTCGAAACGTTCAGAAAGCTCGGGTTGTTCGCGGGCAAAAGGTAGCGGGTTCCGTTTGGAAAACTAATAACCATCGAGAAATCGACTTCTCCACGAGGAATTATCGCCGCTCGTTAATCTTCCCCATGAATCTTTCGCGAAATCTGTTATCACCCGCCCAGTTCGTTCATCTCGCAAAGTTTTTCTGGAAAAAAGTTTATCTAGAATTAATTCTCTCTTTTTTCTTCTTCTTCTTTTTTGGAATACAATATTTCCAATTTCGCAACTTTGGACGAGATGTTTGTGATACTCATTTAATATTGATCGTTTTATTCTAGGTGGTGGTTTCTCAATGTGAAATGCAAGCAGATGTCGAATACTATCCTTTTTAAGTATAATGGTATTATCTAAGAATTTTGAACTGTACGAAAAAAGTGGAAGATATGTAATTTTCTTCTAGCATTATTCTTATAAGGAAAAATAAAGATTTAGTTTTAGAGAGCATAAGAAGCTTTTCTCATTTTATTTGGTTATTATGCTGAAGGAGGTATAAAGATCTTTGAAGGTAAGGAAAAAAGATTGAGAAACATTGGTCTGGACGGAATATTTCATAATTAATTAAAAATTGCAGGTGATCTGAGTTGCTGAGAAATTAAAAATCAAGAGATCAAACTCGACAACCAAATTTGGAGAGTTGAAAGTTGTCGATATACGTAGAGGCTGTCGAATGGATGGAAATCATTTAGACGGAGGAAATTGTTACTATTATGAAGTTGCTTTCAAAAGGGAAATAAAAAAGGAAATATCAAATAAGCATTGCAAGAATATACGAAAGGAATATTCATCAAATTTTTTAATGATATACGAAGATAAACTCTTCGTGAAAACTTCTTTTCCTCTCATTCTCAAGCAGCATTTGCAGTTATTTATATTTATTTTTTAACGACATACGAAGATAACTTGTTCGACTTTGTGAAAACTTATTTTCATCTAATTCTCAGGTATTTCAAGATATTTATATTTATTATATATCCTCAATTTGTCTAATCCTTGCAAAATAAATCCCAAATCGAGATTCAAATTTTAAATTTTTAAATTTAAAATTTTTCAGTGTCGAAACTCATTTTACGGCTAATCGACAGTGCGTAACGATATCTAATTTTATTCGTACAAGTAATAGAAGTAATAAATATACGTGTCTCAAGTGCAATAAAATGCAAGATGAAAAATATTTCGTATTCAGTCAAATCAGTTATTAATAAATGGCAGATTGTAATAGATATCTCCTCGAAAGCATTAAACGAACAAATTAATTCGCGAGATATCTCGTCTGAGAAAGTGTTGTGAAAGCGTTGTTAAAGATAAAAACACGAAATTGAAATAATTTGATCATTCGAATACGATAATTCATTGTTATAATTTGTTATTGTTCATCCATGAACGTATTGATAGAATACAAGCGAGCAATTAGGAAACTTGATAACTACGAGGGATTTGAGAATCGATTTTTATCTTTTTCCAAGAGGATTTTTGGAATACAATGAATATAACGATCAAAATTAGCAGGAATAACGAAGGAATAATGTGAATTTTTTTTGTTTCTTTTTCATTTGTCTTTTTTTTACTTTGTGGAAGGTTTTTAAATTTGAAAGGGATAAATCATTGATTGACGATGAAAGTCAATTT